TCTAAACTAATTAGAATTAATTATAATTTCTTCGTCCGCAGGTCAGACGTCTCCTGTGAAATCACTGAAACCGGTGAGTCGAGATATATTCCTTCAATTTTCCACGAGTCGAAAACTACGAATATACCAACGATAAAGCAGCTGCTGAATTAATAAACAGAAAAGGTTTTAACTTCATCTTGTGTGTGTGTGTGTGTGTGTGTCTGTGTGTGTGTTAGCTACATTATTCAGGGGAGCCCACATTAGCCAGGCTGTTATTTCTGGAAGTGCATGTGGGTAAATATGCCGGCTCCTGGCAAACAGCAACTCACCATCCCTCTGTGTATGGGTGTTTAAGATGATACGCTGTGTTCAACAGCTTGTTCCTGTGCAGCTCCTCCGTGTAGCTCTCTTAAAATAGAGACAAGCTGGGGCAGCAACAGGCTTACTCATAATATTCTATTTCTTCAGCACAGAATGATTCTGCATGGATGCACACTTTTAAAACTCAAGAGCGGTGTAGCAGTTCGGGGTTTTGGTTATTGTGGAGGGTGGCCCCACCTTCAATCAGTTTCTCTGTCTTAGTTTCCCTCTTTCCGTTTATAGAAATCACATAAATTCATATTATTAATTGTAGAATGTATTTTTAGAGACAGAATGTTTGATAAATACAGGAAACTTAACTGACCTGCGGCTCTTGTGTCTGTGTTCCAGTGCACGGCTCCGATGTCCCAGCCCACTCCTCAACCGACGTCCCATCCTGCTCCACAGCCACTGCCCCACCCGTCCTCTCAGCCCACACCCCAGCCCCAGTGGCAGGAGATGATCACCGGCACGGAGACCCCCAGTCAGCCGGAGATGCCCCCCAACCCGCTCTCCTTCCCCAGCAGCACCCTGCTCTCGTCTTCACCCAAACCGGACGCGTCGGAGCTCTACCTCAAGTCCAGGGCCTTGTTGGACAACAAGCGTACGTCTCTTTTATCTCGTGGCTCAGAGCTGAAATCCCTCAGAACCGCTGCATGATGTGATACATACGTGACCAGCACCGCAACATACATGACTGTTTACTCCTCTCTCCTCTGTGCAGCTCTCAACACCAAGGACCTGGATGTGTTCATCAAAAGGAACCAGGAGTCGGGCTTTGGCTTCAGAGTGCTTGGAGGCGAGGGGCCGGATCAGCCGGTATGCAGCTCAAATCCCAAACCTTCAGATACCAGAGATTTCCAGTCAGACACAAAGCAAATCAATATCTTGGCTGCATTCAATTACTGAAATTGCCTGAATTTCTGCTGCTGCTTGATGACAATGGGGAAATTGACATGTTGAAACCTTTGAAAGCTTTATTTTGCTCCTAAGAAACATATCATCAAATGTTCAGAGCAACTGAGGAGATGGACAACACCCGTCCATCTCCGCGCCCTCTCTGCCTCAGATCGTAGCGTCGAGCTGTCTCTCTTATGTCCTGTTGTGTCCACAGGTGTACATCGGCGCCATTGTGCCGCTCGGTGCAGCGGAGAAAGACGGGCGCCTGCGGGCCGGGGACGAGCTGCTCTGCATAGATGGCGTGCCGGTAAAGGGCAAGTCCCACAAGCAAGTGCTGGAGCTGATGACCAACGCTGCCCGCAACGGTCAAGTCATGCTCACGGTCCGCAGGAAACTGGTCCAGTCAGGTGGGTGTGCTTTTCTCCCAGAGACGTTGTTTGATCTGTGCACTGGAGGAGAAACTCAGAGCAAAAGTTTGATCATGATTTTTATTTATTTTTTACTAATCCTTTAAATGTTCCGGATGATTTCCTTGCAGACAAATTTGAATTAATGAAGTTTGACTGAAATTGACTTTCGGAATGTTTTTCTCTGCAAGAAGTCTTCCTAAGTCAACTTTTGAAATACAATAAGAATTTTTTGTTTAACTCAAATTGAAGGAATGGGAATAAACAAAATGATATTTCCCTCTAAAAAAGCATAAACAGAAGTTGCAAATACCCGCTGCATGAATACTACAAGTACTTCTTGAAATTACTTTGGATTGAATGTACTTAAAAAAGAACAGCTTTGATCATGCTGCAGAAATCATGTGAGGGTTTGTGAGAGACTCAACAGACTCGTCTTATGAATAACAAATTGAAGAAGGTCCTTCAGATTCAAGAGAAGGATCTCAAAAAGGACAAATTCAGAAATCCAGATGTGTTTCTGTTCCTTGCCGTTGGTCAGATGGAGGTAGCGAGGAGGAGGGCGGTCAGCAGCCCCACCACGTTGCATCCGCCTTGGTCAACAACTCTCCCAAGATGCCCGGCGGCGAGGTGCCAGGCGCCGTCCAGCAGGCGCCGTCCTCCCGGCCCGAGTGCTTTGACGTTACCCTGCAGCGCAAAGACAACGAGGGCTTCGGCTTCGTCATCCTCACCTCAAAGAACAAGCCCCCGCCTGGAGGTCAGGAACTCACGAATTATTTTAAGTTTAGTTTAAACACTTTAGATTCCTTATTAAATCAAGACACATAAAAACAACCTGTTGTGTTTTCTCTGTTTCAGTTATACCTCACAAGATCGGCCGCATCATCGAGGGCAGCCCCACAGACCGCATAGGTCAGATGAAGGTGGGAGACCGCATCTCCGCCGTCAATGGCCGCTCCATCATGGAGCTGTCGCACAACGACATCGTCCAGCTCATCAAGGACGCAGGGAACTCTGTCACGCTCACTGTTGTGCCTGAAGATGGTAGGTCGGCACAGAGAACGCCTGAGTTCTGAGAGTTTCTGTGTTTAGGTTTTCAACTTTTTTGATCACCGGTGTCGTATGAATTGTGCTCTTCCAGACAGCGCTCCTCCATCTGGAACAAATTCCGCCCGGCAGAGCCCTTCGGCACAACACAGAGCTGTGGGCCAACAGCCTCCCAGCTATCCAGAAAGGTACAAGTACACACACACACATACTCCTACAACTTCTTTTCAGCCTCCTCCCGAGTCCACCAGAGACAGTCTGAACCATCAATTAGTCCCACTTCTCTCAAAGCAAAGACTCACAGTTTGTGTTTCATCGTGGCCCATGCTCTCCTTGTTATCCACAGAGACAGAAAATCCCCCCCACGTTCCCCGTTTTTTGTCGTCGAAGCAAAGAGAAAGAGACGATTAATGGAGAGTCTCACTTCCTCTTTCATCTTTCGCCTTAAACAAGATTACCTGTGTCAGCCTTTTTAATCCATTGCCGCTGCAGGAATTCTACATCATCATTTCTCGTCCTCACACGCTCTGTTTCACCGTCTATCAGCAGGAGTTCCTCTTCTCATTTAGCCCCGCATCCATCCCTTGGCAGAGCCCCCCCCCCCCCCCCCCCCCCCCCCCCCCCCCCCCCCCCGTCCAAACTCCAGCACATGCCTCGGGTTAACCCAGACTAGCATCCGACGCTGACATCGTGAAGTGCGTCAACTCTTCTCGGCTCCAGAGCTCGCTAAGAAGGGCCGAGACCCTTCAGTGTGTTAGTGTGAGTTCCCTCAAAGGCTTTGTAATGAGCTCTGCCGAGCACTAAAGTGTGCCCCCCGTTTATCTGGCGCTGAACAGTAAAAGCAGGGCGGCTCTTTGAAGGATTTTCACTGGTCTCTGTGCGTCGAGTAATGAAACGGAGAGGAAGAGGCTGCTGCTGCTGGAGTGAAGGCGTGGCGATGCGTGGATCACACTGGACACAGAGGAGGAGGAAGAGACTCATCCTTTATTCTCCGTCTCCGTAATATAGAACATCTCATGGGCTGTAGCTCCCATCCCGCACAAGCATCTGTACCGTGGTGCTGAGGAGAGAGTGCACAAATTCACCATATCTGATCCCTCACAGACACTGGATCAGTGTTTTGTGTGTTTGCAGTAAAAAGCCTTCATCCGCGTTTGTTTGGTATTTAGCAGGATTACGCAAAAACTACTGATTCACGAAAACTCAGTGGAAGGAGGTCGTGCAGATTTGGATCAGGGTTTAAGATCTGGGATTTTTTTTGGTCTTTAACGCTGCGAAAAAGGGAAAAATTCATGTCATGCATGTTTAGGGGACTGACATTTGATCTGGTGGATTTAAATGTGGTTTCATATGTGGAGTGTTGGAACTCGGAGGAGGAATGTTTTCATTCTAGTTCCTTGCTGATCTCACTGCACAGGCTCAAGTGTGCAGTTCATTTAAAATCTTGAAATCGTCAGCGTTCACTTCAGACTCTTGAATATGCTATTTGTGTGCTGACGTTGAATTCACACGTCGCATTAAAACAAGAGTAAATATTCTCGTTATCTGCAGAATGTGGGTCACATTATAATATGTTGGGGGTTTTTTTGCGGTAGGAACGGCGACAGTGAGATGAAGAACTCTTTCTCACAGAGAGAGATGGGTGCACTCATCACATCAGGCCCTAAGCAGGTAAAACCAGATTACTCACATCTTGATGAAATGAACATGATGCTTGTAATTTGCAAAATCTTAATCTTATCGACCAACATGGATTTTAAGGTGACTTCTGTGTATAAATGCACATTTTCTTGCATTTTTTATTCTGTAAAATAAAACTTTCCTGAGCAGAATGGGTTAAAACTACCGAGCAGGGATTTAGTGTAGAACCCGGGACGTTTGTCTCAGGCCTGCCCAGCAGCGCTCACTCTCTGACTCCTCTGTGAACCACAGGGCTGTTTCGTGGTGGAGCTGGAGCGCAGCCAGCGGGGCTTCGGCTTCAGTCTGCGAGGAGGGAAAGAGTACAACATGGGACTGTTCATCCTGCGACTGGCTGAGGAAGGACCTGCTCTGAAAGACGGCAGGATACACGTGAGTTACGATGTCAGGGTGTCTCCATACTCAGAATGAACTACGACCTGGCACGACTGAAACTTCAAAATGAAAAGTCTTACTCAGGAGTTTTCTCACAATCCGAACAACGGATTTTGCTTTTATCACTCTTCTTATATTTTTGTATTATTTATATTCGGATACAAATTATGCTCTTAAAATGTCGGAACCATAGATCTTATCTCCGTGTCAGGCTCTGTGATGCAGCGTCCGAATGCCCGTGCATCAATTCTTAACGTTGTTTTCAGAAACCCGGCGTGCAACTGTCGCTTCCACTTCACGCACTTCTCCGTCTGTGCCTCACATCTCCGTTTGAAAACCAGTGATTTCATTTAAAACAACAGCAGCTGAACTCATCAGAATCCTCCTGTTGCGATGTGTGCGTCACAGGTCGGGGATCAGATAGTGGAGATCAACGGGGAGGCCACCCAGGGCATCACACACACTCGGGCGATCGAGCTGATCCAGGCGGGCGGCAGCAAAGTCCATCTGCTGCTCCGACCCGGCCAGGGCCTGGTCCCGGATCACAGTGAGTGACAGCTGAGAACCACACACATGCACACACACATACACACACAATAGAAGCTTTTGTATGGATATGCTTGATAGCAGGGTGCTGACTTTCTTTATTCTCATGCATGTGTTGCCAGCTTCTCTCTTGATCCACCTCTGTATCTGCCTCGCTCTCTCTGTTTTCTGCACCAGCACGGCTGTCTACTTCTACCGATGTATCTCTTCCTCCTATAGGTCTGAACTCTTCTTCCACCCTGTGCTTCTACATGAAACCAGAGCATCACTAAAGGCCTCACTGCTTTTCTTGGTCTGTCCCTAATAACCGTGGTAAACCTTGTACTCCTCCTTCTTTTGCCTTTGACCTGTCCTTTCAAAGTGACTCATCTCCCAGATTTTTTAAGTGTCATTCTCTGACTTCATCGCCTCGATCCATCTACTAGATATTTGTAAAAACAGTGTAATGATATGTGGACTCTTCTCTGGCGGGTTGAACTAAAGCAGTGAGTCCTAGAGGAATGAACAGACCTGCAGGAGCGCTGCGAGGCCTCAGATCCCTGCAAGTTATTATTTTTAAGGGTATTAAAAAATAAAAAAAAATACCTGAGATGCCACTGAACGCACACCTCATCCTGAGCGTGCACGAAGACGGCGACCTGGAGCAAAGTCTAGGCTTAACTAGATATTGATCAGTGAGTGACAAGTGGTGGAAGGATCCGTGTGCGTTCACTGGCATGAACCTTTCAATCCAAAAACCAAATTAGATTGAATTTCTACGAGTTGCTCCTCTTAGAAATCCAAAAGCTCATTTCGGCTGCACCAAGTTCATCACTCTTCCTTTTCTCTCTCTGGTTTTTCTGCTGCATATATCTGCTCCCAATCACAGCTGTGCAATTCTTATCAGCTCGAGTGAAAATTGAAACGTCAGAGGCGGGTGAACACTAGCACCTTTTTTTTTTAATGTATTTGTCGTCGGCTGATGTGTATCTCAAACAAGGCATGAATTTAGAGGGAAATTACAGGGGGCTATTATAGAATGCGAGCTAGATGGAAAACAAGTTTTTCACAATATCAGGATTTTGCTGTGCTTCTTTTGCATGACATGTGACAATGTGCAAAATAGCTCAGGGAAATTTTAGTTTCTGCTGTTTTCTTTTATTGACTGCATGTGTTCTCGGCTCAGCTCGATCCTCGTCTCACTCTCCACTGCTTGCTCCGCAGGTGCAAAGGACAAAGTAACCATTCCAACCTCAAGCTTTCCCAGATTCTCTGTATCTGATGGACATTCATCTCCTGCCTCTCCGTCCTCTGTCTTCTTCTCTACCTCGGAACTGTCCCCATCTTCCCCCAAAATATCCGTCACTGAGGAGTTCTCTGGGGTGGACTTCAGGGCGTCTGGGTCCCCTGGCACCGGTCAGGAGTCCGGCAGGCAGGCTAACAGATCGAGAGGACAGCAGCCTCCTCACCACGACCATAAACGCACCATCAGCCCCGGCGCCAGAAAGACAAGCAGGGCCGACTCCAAGTCTGCGAGTCCCAAAAGAGCCGCTGACGGCTGGAGAGATCACGTGGAGCGCTCCCAGAGCCCGAGAAAAACAGAGCGAGGCCACAGCGGATCCTTGGAAGACATGAGCAAGGAGAGAAAATCCCCAGGGCAGAGAGACCACTACTCCTCTAGCACCAGGAAGGGCTCCAAGAGGGAACATGACCCTGCTGTGCCTGTGAAGAACCTGGAGGAGCCCCAGAGCCCCCGGCGTCCAGCTGGCCAGCAGCCCAGTGTTCCATCCGCAGAGGGGAAGGACCGGAGGTACAAGGAGGAGGATGCACCTTACCGGCAGGAGAGGGGGACCACGGAGAGCGGAGACAACAGCTGGGCGACCGTCGAACGCCACAAGAAAGGCAAAAGAGCCGAGCAAGACGCAGCGGCACAAAAGTCTTACTCCCAAATGCACAGGGAGAGGGCGGGGTCAGATGCCGACAGTGGCACCCTGAACCGAAGGAGCGGGAGAGAGAAGGGGGACACACAACACCGGGAGAGCAAGCACCACGGGACGACCGATGAAGCGACCAGAAAGGACCCCAGAGGTTCGAGCAGTAGCATCCAGGACCCCAGCTGCAACGGGACCACCGCGAGCAAGAAGGCTCCCATCACCCCGGGTCCGTGGAAAGTTCCCAGTTCGGCCAAGATCCAGTCCCGAGTGGACGTAACATATGCAGATGTCTGATATCTTTCCAGGACTCTCTGCATCTATGAAGATATAGCTGAGCCTCTGAACATCCGGGAATGAAGGATTTTTTCTTTGGACGAAGCAGATCACTGTGTAACCAGCAACATAGCTTCTCGTTGCTCGGCTGTTGTTGTTTTCAGTTTTTTCTTTCACCCAGTTTGCCTCGGTTGGTTTGCATCGAAGCTGCTTACGTCTGATCCGACGCACGTGCTCGCACCCACCTGAGTATTCGCATCAGATGGCGTCAGAGCGCGACGTTTGGATGAGACACCAAAGTTTATTTTGTGCCAATCACAGACTCGGGTTTGAAGATCGGACGAGCGGCTCCTCCCGTCTGCTCACGTTCATGAAGGATTCTGGGTTTTTGGTTTTGTTTGTTTTGTTTTTCGTCACTTTTAAAGGTTTAAGGCACATTCCTACAACCACTCAGCTTCTCTTCCTGGCAGGACTGAGTCACTGTGGCTGTCACTGATGGATGTAGTGAAAAAATGAGGCTGGTGAGTTTCTCTTAAAAATTGGCTGCAAAGGGTGACGGAGTGTCTTCTGAGTCATTTACGGCCTGAGAGAGAGAGAGTGTGTGTGTGTGTGTGTGTGTGGGTGTGTGTGTGTGTGTGTGTGTGTGTGTGTGTGTGTGTGTGTGTGTGTGAGAGTATGAGTGTGAGTGACTGCATTCATACACTCTGAAACACTCTGATCCCATTAGCTTACAGGAGGGTGGACAGATTGCCCCGGAGCTTTATATGCATTAATCAGCAGACCAGATACTTGTGGTTCTAGTTCTAATGTTTGTCACATGTGTGTTGATAATTAAAAAAAAAAGCATAATGTAATTTATTGAAGTTATATATGTAAACACAAACTGTCAGTGCACATATCCCACGCCGTCATTTCACTTTCGATGTGGATTCAAAGTACAGAAATAGAATGTGTAAATAGGCGTCAGCATCCGAAATAACAGCATTACCATCTATGCATTCTATTTCTAGGATTGCACGGTCACACGAGTCATATTGTCGTCTACTGTTTGCAGCTCTGTATTTTAGGTCTGTGTGTGTACGTATACAAACTGACTGGTAGGCCTGTGTGTTGTCGATATTCGCCGTAGCATCGACTATACTTAATCAGAAACATATATTATTATTATTTAACAAAAGCGATGACACGTATATTGACACTTCATTTAGACGAGTTGAACTGTCGCTGAAAACTTTGAGAGATATTGGTATTTTTATTGTAGGCACAAAAGACGTGTTGTTTCCTCCTCACTCTAACCTCCAAATCTATTTTTGATCTATTTTTTTATTTAGTACGTGACCATCAATGTGAGAAGGAAGAAGAAGAAAAAAATGGCGTGTATATTTTTGTTTTGTTTGCTTAGCTGTTAATTATTAACAACACCGTGGCTATCACTTTAGTGTTATAAATAAAACCAGGCTCCCAAAAGAATGCAGTTAATTTACCACACGTGGAGGGGGGGCGGGGGTTTGTGTGCAAAACCGGCTCGGCTGCCTTTTTTTTTTTTCCGGGAGTTCCATTTGAAGTTTATCAAATTTAATTAAACGGGGACATAAAAAAAAGAATCTATTTTTTATTTATTAGAAGCAGCTGTGCCCTGATCTGAGCAGAACATGTAGTGTTGTTAATAACGGCGGAGTGCAGAGACATCTAGTGGTTCGAACTTGCGGCGTCATCAGCGTGCCTGTTTTGAAAGATGCACAGCAGCATTTACTCTGAGGCCGTTTACTAATTTATTGCGGAATGATGGGCTGCCGATGTACGATTCTCCGGTTCATCTCCATGTAGGATACCGTGGCCTTGCATTGCTCCAACGTAGAAAAACATAAGACGTCTCTTGATTTTAACATCATGGTTAGATGTAAATGTTTATAAATTGTACAGCACCTGTATAAATACTTGCCTTCATGCAGAAAAAAAAAACAAAACCTCTGTAAATCGTTTCATTATTTTTCTAAGGGAACCGAGAGGAAAGGATATAAAATGGGTGAAAATAAATAATCTGGTCATGGCATTCTGTTCATGCACTGATAAATAAAGGTTTACTGAATAAACACTTCTGCTGTGGTACATTTGTTGTCGAGTATCTGATTGAAGGAATGTGAGTCCTGCTGCTTCTTGTGCTATTTTTAACATCAACTATCTTTGCATGAAAAACAATGACTCCTCTCAGCTGCAGATACTTCCTGAAACCAAAATCAATATTGTTCTGTCAGAAAACTAAGACGTCTACAAGTTGCTCAGCCTGAACTTAGACCAGTGGTTCTCAAACGTTTTCTTCAGAAGATGCAATAAGTCCGAACATAACCGGTGACAGGGGAAGCAGTTGATAAAACATGAATGGAGTTGTAATGAGATAAAAAACTCTGTTTACATTTCCTACATAAATCATATTCAGGCAACTTGGTGTTACTCTCTATATATATTCTTTGTTTGAGAACCACTCACTTAAACAACCTGAGGCCTTTTATACATACGCATGTTCAGTTTGAATTTAAATTGTCAATATTAGAAAGTTTTTAAACTTTTAAACTGATTTCTCTTTCTCTCTTATTGTGAAAGTGCTGAACATTTGTGTGTGTTTTTGCCACACACACACACACACATAAAGGTTTGCATAGCTATTATTGTTATAAACAATGACTTCATTGTCGACAGCCAAATCCTAATCCTAACCTTAACCTCACCACGATTCACATCTGACCCTTAAGAAATTAAGTTTGAGGACACAATCATGTCTCCGTGACTTCAGAGGACATCACACTGACTTCCATTTATTTCCTGTAGACTTTCTAAAACCTCAACCACGTTCACTACTTCCCTAATAACCTAAACCTGAGCTTAAACCTAAACCTGAGCCTCAAACTAACCTTAGAACAACCTTAAATAAAAAAAGACTCTCTATGTTTATGGGGACTGGATTTTTGTTTTGTCCCTTTAATGTCCCCGCTATTATATGACTGTATATCCAGCTGTAGGTCCCCACAACATGAGTAACACACACACACACACACACNACACACACACACACACACACACACACACACACACACACACACACACACACACACACACACACACACACACACACACACACACACACACACACACTGCCTCTCGTGGCTGTGGCTCAAACCAGCCATGACGTCAGAGGGGCAGAAGTGCGTGCGTGCCGAGCTGCACGCAGTCGGTGCAAAATAGACTTCAACTCCCATGCAGCATTGCGGTGTAAACAAACTACACGACCCAGAGCTCCGTGCGTCACGCGTGCGCAACGGGGCCAAAAGCGCCGAGGAGGACTACAGGCGCGCGGCTCGCGGACTACAGTGTGCCGGGGACGTGCGCGCCGAGAGTCCGGAGACCTTTAAATGTTGTGTACGTGCAAAGATGGCAGCTGAAGTGGAGCAGGTGCGAGAGAGAGTGGGAGAGGAGAAGGTGAGGGACAGTCTGCAGAGGTTCATCAAGGAGAGGAAGAGGAGGAAGAGGAAGAGGGAGCTGTCAGCGGACAGACTGGAGAGGAGTGAGGAAGAGGCGAAGAGAGTGAAGCTCCATCATCATCATCATCATCACCATCACCACCAGCATCAACACGCTGAGCACCGGAGCCTCCCGCCGCATCAGCTGCTGCACAATCCCAAACCTCACAACGTGGACAAGCATGTCCTCCACCACCACCACAGTCTCACCAGCGGGGCGAAGAGGAGGCTGCAGCCGGCTCTGCCTCCTACTCCGCCGCCGCCGCCACCTCCTCCTCCTCCTGCGCGGAAGGTGCCGCCGGTGCAGCTGCAGAAGAAGCGACCCCCGGAGCCTCCTGCGCTCTTCACGTTCACGCCTCTCAAAGTGGTCAAGGCCAAAGCGGCGCAGGATCTGAGAGAGAAGCACCGGGACACCGAGCTGAGGCTGCAGCTGAAGAAGGAGAACACCGAGGCCAACGTGAAGCACAGCGAGCTGAAGAAGAAGAAGAAGAAGAAGGGTGAGCTGTGGAGGTCCGAGAGGAGGTGTATCGATTGTTACAGCAACAGATTGTCAGAGTGAAGTAGACGTGAGAACATGTGGAAGTATAAATCAGAATAGAATAAAGAATTTCAAAAGTGAGGGAATATGCAGAATATAGGAATATAGACATATTTACATATATATTATATAATATACACTTTTTGTGCATAGGTTCTGAAAAAATGTCCTATTTGGAATTTGTATAGTACACACGAGTATTTTCTAAAGTCAGTAAGAGGTCAAGAGGTCAGGTGTGGTTTGGTCCTAATTTATATAATTATAAATACAATATATATATGAGCTAAATACATACATGTAACTTGTGTTATTAATTTAGTTTTTATTTCCACTTCCTGTGGAGTTGTGCTGTTATTAAGAAGTAAACAGATATTTAGTTATTTAAGAGAGAAGATCAGTTTCAGTGGTGTTAAGGTGACACTGGGTCAGTCCGGTGTCTCCTCCTGTATGATAACAAGAGAACGTGTGTGCATCATGAACTACCGTTTCAAATTTAATACATAACGCCTAAAGTTATTGAATATTCAGACGCAGTGTTCAGGAGGAGGAGGAGGATCCCCCTCCTCTCTCTGCACGCACCCCTGCTTCACTTGACTTTTCCCCCTCTCTGTCCCTGCAGAGCCGCGGCCTCACAACGAGAACATCGAGTCCTTGACGCTGGAGGAGTATCTCCTGAAGAAGAGGAAGAAGAAGAAGGAGAAGCATGAGGATGAGCACCGTGCCAAGAAGGTCCGACACATGCACCACAAAGCGGTTCAGACCGTGGGAGCAGATCTCAGTCTGACGATCCGCCCTGAAACGTCTCGGCCTGGCACGGTGAAGCGCGAGAGCAATCGCCAGCCGAGCAGAGACACTATGGCCAACCACCAACCCTACCTCCATGCTCTCAAACTGGGTCACGTCCCCTTCCTGTCCCACCAGGATCACTACATCCGCAGCTCCTCCCTGCAGACAGGCACCTGGTATGGACGCCTCATGCACGAGGAAAGGCAAGCCAACGGCGGGGGGTCCGTCCTGCACGCCTACGCCGATGAGCTGGCCTGCCTCAGTCCGGCTGAGATGGAGAGCTTCGCCCAGGAGTTCCTGGAGTTGGCCTTCGCTGAGAAGCCGAGAGGTGCAGCCTCCTATGCCCTGGCGGTGGTGCACAGGGCGGCCGCCTACCTGCCCGACTTCCTGGACTACTTTGCTTTCAACTTCCCCAACACGCACGTCAAGATGGAGATATTGGGCAAGAAAGACATTGAGACCACAACTATTGCCAACTTTCACTCTCAGGTATGTGAGAGTTTCCACCTGACTCTTGACACGTCGCTCAACTAATCCATGTTCAAAGATCCCAGTGTAGTACTATAGGAGCAGTGCTAATTAATCAATTAAGTAATCATTTGAAATCTACTCCAAGTCACAAAATATCGTCAATATTTGACAATAAATGTTCACAGAACGGAACAAGGCCGCACCATCACAGAGTTTAACTAGAATATTACTCAGTAGAGCACAAACCTCCACCGAGACAGTCTCATTAAATTCAATCGAGCTGCACCAAACTGAACAAACTCGTAAATATTAGTCATCTAAAACCTAAACTGATATAATGGTTGAAAATGTTAAGCAGTTTTGTTTGTGTATTCCTGCTTGTGATGGAAGTTCGAAGGTGAAAGAAGAATCTTATCGGATACTTCAACCTGAAGCACGAGCACCTAAATCATGTTGTGTCCCTAAGAGAAGAATCCTCTCTGTCTGGGACATTAAGTCCCTGAACGGAGACGTTACAATTCACAGCTAGTTTTCTATTTTTCTACATATAACCTGGGCTTTGTATGAGAGGCTGCTGGACAGTTGGACAACAGAATAAGTATGTTGTGTATATGTATATTCAAAAGTAGTCAGTATATATAAGTTAAAAAAAACTGATCTTCCTTATTTCTGTGTATTTTAACTGTAAAAAGTTAAAGTGGACTGTGGGTTGAGTGTATGATGAGTATTTACTATGGAACTGGGACACACTGAAAGACACGAGCTGTTTCTCCTGCTCTAGGTGAACCGGACTTACTGTTCCGGAACATATCGGGCTGGACCCATGAGGCAGATCAGTTTGGTCGGAGCTGTGGATGAGGAGGTCGGAGACTATTTCCCAGAGTTCCTTGACATGTTGGAGGAATCACCTTTTCTCAAGGTCAGTGGGAAACGAACTCGTGTATTTTAAGAGCTGTTCCTGGGGAAAAGACTCCATCAAGGTCACACAACAGTTCTTTGTAACTTCAGGCGTGATGAATCCGAACCATGCCATTGCAGACTAAATAAAGGACCACACATCTCAGCCACCAGGGGGCAACATCTATTTGCATTAACTAAATCACAAGTTGTGTCTTATGATTATATTGTGGCTTTTAATTTGTTCTTTATCAGTCGAACCACTAAAATACATTTTACACTCCTACTGATATTCTAGTTTGAACTCACACCAACATACATTTGAGTTGTTTTTTTTAAAAATGGTGGAAGAGCTCTGTGAAATATCCTGAAGCTAAAACTCACAGCTGTGTGTTTGAACGTGCACAGATGACCCTCCCCTGGGGAAGCCTCTCCAGCCTGAAGCTGGACTGTCGCTCTCAGAGTGACGATGGGCCGATCATGTGGGTGCGACCAGGGGAACAAATGGTTCCCACCGCTGACATGCCCAAGTCTCCTTTCAAACGACGCCGGTACAAACTCGAAAACACGACTTCCGTATCCGTAACATCAGATGATAATTTCTCGTAGAACGAATATAAACCCTTCTTATTGTCCTGCCCCCTCATTTCTGTTTTGTGTCCAGGTCAATGAATGAGATCAAAAATCTGCACTATCTGCCGAGGGCCAGCGAACCCAGAGAGGTTCTGTTCGAGGACCGGACGAAGGCCCACGCCGACCACGTCGGTCAGAGCTTCGACTGGCAGAGCACTGCAGCTGTTGGGGTGCTGAAGGCTGTGCACTTCGGAGAATGGTGAGTGTTGATGATGAGCCGTCATCATCGTTACATCGTGGTGTGTGAGGCAGGAGACGTCACTCTGTTCGCTTCATCTCTTGCAGGAACAACCGACCTCGGATAACCAAGGATGTCGTGTGTTTCCAGGCGGGAGACTTCAACGAAGTCGTCCAGAGGCTGCAGCTCGATCTGTACGAGCCCCCAGTGTCTCAGGTGAGAACTTCCGTAAAAACGGCGTGTTGTGGTGCATCCTTTTGTTTTTGTAACCGCCACACTACAGGTGGCATGTACCGCTTTAATTTAAACTGTGCGTCTTTGTGCAGTGTGTCCAGTGGGTGGACGACGCCAAGCTCAACCAGCTGAGGAGGGAAGGCATCCGGTACGTCCGTGTGCAGCTGTGTGACGACGACATTTACTTCATCCCAAGGAACGTCATCCACCAGTTCAAGACGGTGTCTGCGGTCTGTAGCCTGGCTTGGCACATCCGTCTCAAACAGTACCACTCGGAGGACAAGGTCAAGGAGGAGGAGCCGCTGCAGCAGCGCAGCGATATCAGCCCCACCACAGGCCGGGTCTCGTTTTCCTCCCCTGCCAGTCCGGACGGCACCGTCACCCCGTGTGCGCGACCGCAGGGTGACAACATCCGAGGCGGAGTGGCCAAGGCCGAAGAACCGGAGTTCCAGAGGCCAGCAACACCTCCGCGGGAGCCTCAGCCGGCACCGCCGCAACCCACCAAGTCCGCTCGCTCGCCCCCAACTTACCAGGATCTTCACTTTTCCCTGGCGACAGTCCACCCTGGCTGCACGCCGTCAAAAGAGCCGACACTTCCAAAATCTTTGGGCCACACTACTCAGTTCCCTCAATGATCTTTCTCCTCCAATACAAACCTCTCTCCACTGTCAGAGGAGCAAGGGTGAAGAACTTTTAGACTAAAACTGACAACTGAACGTCAATCAGGAAACATTTCGATCTGATTTATTCTTCACGTATTTTTTAAAATCTTTAAACGTGGGTGAAAATGTCCCCGGTTTGTTTTCCGACAATAATACTCTTTCTTACCGTCTTCACCTGGACTGGAACTCTCTGCTGTCTCAGTGAAAAGGTTTGCATCATGTAAAGAGAGACATTTTTATTTTATCATTTCCTGGCAGATTTGTTTCACTGAGGCATTTGAAGTCACAGGTGATCTGATTGTATAAAATACTTGTGAGTTCGACTAACTTTAGCCAAAAGAGACTTAATCGTGAATCCAGACCTTTACCACCAATCAAATCCTGCCACACGTCGGAATGAGTGGATTGGCCACAGCCTGGACAGATGGAGAAATTAACCCAACTCTTTTATTTTGAAATACTTATCTTAGAAATTGAGGAAGAGACATTTTCTTCACACTTTATTTTGAAACTAAGCGACACACGATCTAATTACGCTCTCATCCACTTTATAAGTTGCACTTACTGCACGTGATTCTTTTATTTAAATTTTCTATTGTGCCCTTTTTCTTACTGTTGATACTGTTTTTGATATTTTATTTATTTTCTTAAGATTGAACTTAACACACAAACACAGGTTTTATAACCGGTGATGAAGACTGAAGAAGAAGATGATCTAATTACAGGAGCTCCTGTGAATCTATCCGCTATTATGAATAATCGTGTGGATGTACGTCTTCGGACTTTGTTTTGTAAATATCACGTTATGTAGTTAATCGCTGAGAATATGTGAATCCTGTCCGTGCACTCATTCTTCATTTGATTAAAATCTATTCACATGTTTTTAGTTGTTGAACTGGTGACGTCACTGCAGGTCGATGAAGGCGCAGTTGTAGGATCGTGTTTTTATTAAAGGAACTTTTTATACAGAATGAACTCCCACGAATCACCTCTGTCGGTTAGTTTGCTCATTTATTTGTTCGTCTGCTTGATCTTGGTGACAAAAAACTACCCAGATTCATTTAGTGCAGCTTGACTGAATTTAAGGAGAGTGTTGGTTTTCACCCCAAAATTACTACAACTACAAAATAAGATTTCCAGGAAATTTAGAGAAAGGACCACTAAAATTTCGGCGTGGATCAAATCAGGAGGCAGATCTAGGAATTAGTTTTGCACTTACTTTAACATTTACATATTTCCGATGGGCCTCGGCGGAGGTATGAGCTCCGAGCAAGGCTTTTATTGTGTAAAATCTGTGCTGTAAAGGAAGTGAGGATGTGATCCCGCCACCGAGTTAGTGCCTTGTTCTGTGTGTAGGGTTTTAGCCTGGTTTAAAACTGTCAGGTTTATCTGTTGGTGAGCAGGATGCAGAAGAGGCAGCCATCATGTTTTAATTGATTTTATTTTACTGATGCTTTTTGATTCCTACGTCTGCTGGTGCAAAGAATCACTGCATCATATTTTGCCTTGAACACATTAGATCCCCGTCTGGAGGCGGAGGGGTTATCTGCGTGTGTCGGGTGTCATAGGGTGTCATAAGGACTCACTGAATCGATGTAGAAATAAATTGACAGTTCAAATTCTGTCACTTGTTGTGATGATTGCCGTTGTTGATGTTTGTCCTCGGACGTCTTTTCCTGGGTTAATGGTCCCAATGTGATCCAGACTAAAGTAGGAAAAAAAAACCCAATGAGAATGCCTTGACTTTCTATATTTTTTAATAAATACTTTTGTGTGTAACTCGTTTATTTAAGACCGTTACATTAAATGCATATTCAATATGCATCACATTCACAAAAATCGTTTAATTCACATGTTGATGATTCTTTAAGAAGAATGTGCTTTTAAAATCATTTAAAAGAATCCAGAAAAGCACATGAGGTTCACGTCGTGTCCTGTTCAACCCGTTTTCTTATATCATGTCAAAATCACAAACACACACATACACAACCAAATATATATATATATATAGCTAAGTAAATATATTTATCAAGTTAAACGGAACATTATTCTATAGAGAGACATATTGTCCAATGAGGCCTTGGTCAAGCAAAAAAATCAACTTCAGTTCACGTGCAGTACAAAAGGCTGAAGGCAGGTGGCAAGGCACTTCCTGTTTGTTCTCGGCTGCTCGAGACGAGGACAGAGACGAGACCTTTGGTGCCTCTCGTGTCTGCGGAACGTCCTAATGTCTCGAGTCCCCAAACAGCAGCAGCGCTGATGCTCAGAGAGCGGTGGCTGCCTCAGAACCAAGACTCAGGGTGACTCCTCGGGCCTTTTGGTTTTCCGAAACGGTTTCCAAATCCTGCTGAAGGAGAAGATGGAGTCATAAAAAAACCGAGTCTGTGTTGAAATAGACCAAATGTTAAAAAAAAGTGAAGTGGACGTACCAAATTTAAACGCTAAAAATGAGGTCGGAGGTGCAGCTCCCGGCTCGTTAGGAGGTGGTGGAGGTGCATTTTTATCTGGTGATGTAGTTTTTAGACATGTTAGAGTCACTTTTTACATTAGAAGTGTGTTTATTGAGCTTTATTTTAAATTGGCTTTACTTACTTTTTTGTTTGTGTCTAAAAAACCTAAGACTCTGGACAAACGAAACAAAAACAGATTTAGCTGATGGCGCCACTTTGAAACTACCACTTATATTTGTCTCTGTCTCTCGTGTCACCCTTGTTCTCGACAGCCCCTTCTCGTTGCCTTTGTCTGACTGGTTTCCTGAGGCCTCGGCATTCAGCGAGGGCCTGTGGTTCAAATCAGGCTGTTCCGTTTGTGCTGATGAACAGAGAACCAGATGGAAACTGAAATGATTTGCTGCTTTTTAATTTGCCTTGATGGTTGATCATTTCCAGCTCAACGTTTTGTGTGTGTGTGTCACATCGAGGGTTGAAGAGGAAGAACTTGTGTTAACAGGTTGTTAGTGATGTCTGTGGCTGAACGTTCACGTCTATTAATACGCACATGAGGTAGGTGTGCTAATGTGCAGGGTCTTTTAATGTGCTGAGGCAACTCACCACTTCCTGCTGCCGTGACGACCACAGGAGGTGGAGCGAGCCGCCAAACTGCAGAAAGGGGCTCTGCGGCAGAAACACACTGATAAACTACATCCAATCACTCCACACTCAGTGATATCTTAACAAACTTGATTTTTTTATTTTCTATCTCTGAGAAATCAACAAAAACGTCAAGAAATCTTGTTAAAGGAAATTGAAAAAATGTAATGGATTCTTTCCTGACACATTCCGGATCACTCCACCAAGTTTACGTGTTAATCCATCGAGTAGATTTTATGTAAACCTGCTAAATAGCACAAAGACAAGTCTGATTGACCCACGTCTTCCATCTTCTTCTTCATTTCAACAAACGTGGGCTTGAAGCCACAAACCGTCCCACTGCTGTTTTATTCTGTCATTTTTGTCTATGTTTTGTTTTTATGATTTCATATGCGTGATATCCTTTTATTTACTCTTTTCTATTTTATTTACTCTTTTCTATTTTATTTACTCAGCCAAGCAGGTTGTGTGTTTGTCTGCATAAGATTGTTTGTTTATATGTCTAAAGTTTCTGTCAGTAGTTGAAACATATTGGCTCGTTAGAAGGTTTTTATGAGATGCTGTTAATTTGGTCTTTTAATGAGAAACACTGAATGTTGCTGTTCTTCAACTTCCAGGTCCAACTTACCTTGTTTTGAACTTTTAGCTCGAACACTCTGGGGGGGGGGGGGG